GGTCTTTGCGCGAACAACGATTTATCGCGATCGATCTTATAAACGCAGAAACGTGCGATCGTTTCTCCGACGATTTAACATAAATTTGTCGGTAGCGCATATATCGTCGACAGAAATGAAACGTTTAATAGGATATTTAATGGAATACGTTAAACCACGGTGGAACGTAAACGTTGTTGAAAAGTATCGCGCAACCGCGGCGATCTACTTCAAAATTAATATCACGCCAGAGTTAAGACCGCGTAATTACGAACACTTGCAAACTTTTACCGTAATAACATCCTCGAATCGCGATATCTTCTCATATACGGTAGCTCGTCTTCCCGTAATTTTTCAGTCGTTTCTTCTAATGACTATTCTGCGCGCTTGGTGTTCGGTGAACTGCCAGCTTTCTACGTGCTTCGTGCTCCGTACGTATAGAAATCCACGTGGCGGACAATGAAGGCTCGAATTCGATACGGCCTATATTTGCCAAATCGTAACGTCCCTACACGCGACAACTTTTCACTCGTAACGCTGTTACGAGGGTGGTTCTATAGATTCTCGATAGCATCTGAAAAGAAATCTTTACTTTCCGATAAAGTCACCCGCGCGATACACGTTAATCGCGTTAACACTTTCGCTGCGGATGACGTGCGTCCTTTGCTTTTTTAATCGGTTTAGTCGTATTTAGAGTCTAAATTTTAGACAGTCGGTACGATCTAAGCATTCATGTTGGTCTGTTCATCGAAAGGAAGGACACTATTTACCATTGTGAAGCATGTCAAGATATCCCGGGGTTATGTTTGGGAGAGTGCTTAAAAAATTATCATAAAAAAATAATAAATTTCGAAAATATACGATTGTTTTTATTATTTTTCAGTTTTCATTTCTCTCGTTCGGCAATCATGTTACAAATAAAATATGTTACCACGAATATATGTTTTTCAAAATAATAATATTAGAAAATTTGTAAGAAATTTTGTCGTTAAAAAAAATATCATAATTGCAGCTCCCAGGGAACGGCTACTTATTTTCGTCCGCAGCGAAAGTGACATACAGTGACGAGCATATAAATAGGGAAACAATTTTGTCGATATATATCACGCTACAGTTTTGTGTTTACAAGTGCACTGTATACGTGCACTACGACCTTCGTGTACTCGTACTCTAAGCTTCGATTTATTACCATCACATTTCGTGATTCTTTATTTATAAACCGTCAGTAGAGGTCGATCTTCTTGAGTGGTAACATTCTTGGCGAGCATCTAAATAGGGAAAACTGAGTTTCTTATTTTCAACGCATATTTTGGTATGTTCAAAGTAAACTAAAAGAATTCATTCCACTTGCTTACATATCGCGTACAACTGAAGGTACGTGTACGGAGCTTTCGTCGCGATCAGTCACCGGTCTCCTTGTCGGTCAGCGTTGGCATATAACGCTCGTTTTTCATCTTTCAGAACAATTCGGCTTCGAAACGGCTCATTTTTCAAGCAAGGAAGAAGCCTGAGCACGCTCCGTCCCCTCCTGACGTTTGGCTGTCGACAGCTCGCCCAGCATCCATTGTCTCCGCCCCGTCAAATTTGCATGTCTTTGCGATATTTGTCAAACGTAGCTGATATAAAACGTGTTCGGCTCTGTAAGGTCTTCGAGGTGATCTTGGAGCCTGCAATTTGGAAATCATCTAACAGTTCGCTTCCTCTGTCCAGCCTGTATACGATGACGCACAGTGGTCCAAAATGCCAAAATTAGAAAGAGTTTTCGACTCTCTATGAAATTTGATATTTTTCAGTTATTTAGGCCGCAAATTACGATATCAGAATTGCACAATTCAAAATAGCGGATCCGATATGGCCGACATGTATATTAAAAAGTTATTAGATTTTCATGAAACTGGCATAATGTATTTATTATGTATGTAACAGTGCAGCAAAAACTAATTGTGTTCTCCAAATATAATGATTATTTCCTAATATAAGGAATATGAAATTAATGTGAAAATTAATGTGAAAATTAAGGGGACGAGAAAAATCGTCAACTTTGAAGTGCTACATCTTAGAAAATAATCATTATATTTGAAGTACAGAAATGGTTTTTGCTGTATTGTTACATATATGATAAATACACCATGGCAGTTTACTGATTTCGCGTACTTCAAAAATTGAATTTCGGCCAGGTTTTTCGCGAAATGAACCACTGTGCGAGGTATCAAAGTGCGTACACGTGTATTCTATTTCGTCACCTCGAGGCCTCGAATACCTGGATGCGATTCCTCCACTTACTAGATTCATCGAGGCGCGTTGCTTCTCCCATCGCAAGGATGTTTATTCTTCCGACAAGTCCTAACGCAACAACATCGGAGGATAAACCCCTAATTCTGGTGAAATCACAAGTTTGTCGCCATCCATCGCGACCAGCAGCTGCTAGTTTCCGTCCAAGTTTCCGTGGAGGAGCCGCGGCGTGTATCGCGCCATCGCCTCGGCGATAAGCCATTAATCATTCGATGTTCTTGGTCGCAGCTCCTTAATGGGTTAACCGGCTGCCGGCGGTTCGCCGGAGGCAAGATTGCACATTTACGCCTCCACCTAGAAACTCGGAATTATTAATTAAAGAGGGGACCATCGCGTGGGTAGCGGGAACACTGACGTCGCCACGAGCCGCGCTTTTCTGCCAACTCCACGGCCGATTCCCTGCTCGCAATCTGTTGGTCCTCGATGGGTCGTAACGCGTCGCCGCCTTTGCTCCACAGCGAAAACACGGGTCGACGAATCATTAAGAACCGGTAATAACGATCTCGAGCACTTCCAGTGGTTACACAGAGTACTTTTCTTTTTCGTTAAGGACGATTTATATTATCCGTTCAGACACATCGCGTTTCCGATCGGTTCGGTTCCGACAAATATTGTTTCGCGTTATTAAACAGGAGTGTTTGTATTTACCGTAATGGATCGGTTCGAACGCGTTCCGTTTCAGACGTATGACGACCGACGTTCTTGAAAAGAATAATTCGTCCGAAGCGATCCGTGACTGAAACAATCCAAACGCAACCGACGGACGCTGTCGTATGATATGCGTTCCGTTCAGACAAAATCTTGCGACAGAATAGACGTGTTGTGTTAATTTATTTGCGAATTTATTGTTACGATAATCTAAATATTATAACCTAGACCTCTTGGGTTGAGAGAGGGTATCTATGACCCTTGGTACTGGATGACCAACTCGTCTAGTCGTTCGTGTCCAGGAAAACATCCTGTAGGGTTTTCGACGACAGATACGAAAAACAGGTCTGACTAGTTTGTGTCGACACTTTCATTCTGATATCTTTATTTGTAATTCATTCGATAGATTGGTCATCCAACAATCGGCAACAATTTCGTTCCCGCGAATAATACGTTCCCCTGTGGTATTGTATCTCGAATAGCGCAGACAACGGATTATCTGCAGTAATTTCCAAGAAGAATAGTCGGTGGCATGCATATTTCTTCGCCTCGACAACCGCCGCGAGAAAGTGACAGCGCTCTTCGCGCAGCAGGTAAGGTCGTAAAGTTTTCGCGACGCTCTGGCTGCGAGCAACAAAATTCGCTGATTAATTAGACATTTTCTCTCGCAGCCACCTCTAGACACTTTGCGTAATCGCGCGGTGGACATGTGGTAACCTCGGAAACGAATTGTCTCGCGTTCGTCTTCTTAGAACCAATCGAAAGTTTCCGTCGCTGTCTTTGTCTTCGGAGACGTACGAGCACGGTTTTACTCGAGAGCATGGTAAAAGATAACGGAGTACGTTCGCGTTTTGTTACCGTAGACACCTGAGAGTTCGCAAGAATTCTGTTACGATCCCGTTCGATCGGCGACATTTCGCCTGGCAACCTTTCCATCGAACGGCCCTCCTTTTTAGCAATTCAAAACAGGTGACCATGACCTGGTTGAATTTCTACACGGCGGTACAAATTCTGGCGAATCCGCTCGCGTAAAAATTCGGCGTCCACGCGGTTTCTAAAACTCGACGAATACGCATCCGTAATAACGCTCGGCTTTCTGCGAACGTTATCGAAGAAGAAAAGGTTCCTGGATGCGATCAGCATCGGGCACCGATCGGTCAAGATCCGTCATTGTTATCGCACCAATTTTATTTGCAATCGACGCCTCTTACTAATGACTTTCTCCTTGTCGGACGATTACAGAACGAATTAGAGCCGGAGCAGAGCTTCGCCGGCTTTGTTTTCTCCCGAGCAAACAGAGTAGATCGGATTTTCCGACGATCCATCTCGAGGAGGATCACGCGCATGGATTACGCTAACCCAGCCACCGCCGGGGCTCGTAAATATTGCGCAATGATGTATCGTTGCAATAATCGCGAACGGGACACGGCGAAATTTGAACGGTAGAAAGTTGAGAGGTTCGCGTCTATGTAATTACGAGTGCTTCTCGCCTGCGATCGACCCGTGCACGAATATGTGTGCCGAAAGGATGATCCACGTCTCTCTACTCTCTTTTTACACTTACACGCGACGTTTTAAATAAATGTCAGGCTAGCGGGTAATAACGCGAATATTAAGAAATTTTTGGGACAACCTAATACAAACGTTCATGACTCAATGTATTATTATTTCAATTAATAATTAGCTGTATTTCGATGTGAATTTGAAATTGTACGTTCACGAAATCATTTTTAAATTACATATGTCGCCCTAGAGGCGCCACCCGAGCGCAAAGGATTAAACATGGATCCTTTCTCGAATTCTGTCTCGATCGCGGTATCTTCGAGACTCGATTCTCCGTCTCTACGTCAAGATCGTTTGAAATCGCGCAACGTTTAAGCGTCGAATGTTTCCAGAGGCGAGGGAACGGAAAAAAGACAGGCAAAACTACTAAGCATTGACCGCGCGACGCGAAGAAAAACGAATCGCGTCGGGCGGTTTTGTTGAAACAAAAGTTGTCGCACTTCTGCCAAGACAGTCTGCGGCTTCAAACGATCTTACGATCTTAAGCCTCGGTTTTCATCGTATTTCTCGAGCAAGCACGCATCGAGAAGCACGGAATCGTTCGTTGGGAAGGTATATACGGTGCGCCGTGTAAGAAGATCAGCCGAGAATGCCGCGCAATTTCGCAGAGACCGACAGGAAGAAGAATCAATTCGATAAGGAGGAAAGGGTTCATCTATTGTCCATAATGAAGCAGTACGCCCCGTTGTTGGACAAGAGCGCCTCCACGCTTGCGCGCAAGAAAATTTGGACGATCATCGAAAGCGAGTTCAAGAAGGCTGGCTTCACTCGCAAGACGTCGGCTCAGCTTAAGAAATATTGGCAGAATTACAAGTACCATTGTAAAAAGGCCATAGCGCTGGGGAAGGTATCCGTGATTTTCTTCTCCTGACCGATCGGTATTTTATTCGAGGTTCGTACGACCTTCAAGCGTAATTCATTTCTCGTGGTATTTAGGAAAGTAAAAAGTGCGGAAAATCGGAAGGAACCGAGTCATCTGAATGGAACCGATATCAAGTCTTTGTTGACAATCGATCTGCGAACTCGTTTTCGGAAATCCATGATGCTCTTCGGCCGTTGGGAGATCGTTCGAAAACCTCGTCGGACGAATCGAGGTGTCGTCTTCCTGAAACGTACGATGATAATGGAACGATATCCCAGAAAATTAATGCCTTGGACAATTTCATCGGTACGTATTCTCTTATTTCTAATTTGTCGTTTCGCAGTTTATCCTGCACAGAATAGCATCGAACGAAAACGAAACATCGACAAAAAACCGATCTTTTATCGTCTCGCGTTTGATTTAAAGATCTCTCGCACGTCAAGACCGAGAAAAACGACGACGAAGTTACGCTGGACGATTTCGACGGACCAGGAACAAATCCGTCGGAGAATACAAATCCCGAGGACGATAGCTTGGACGAGAGGAAAGAGATTTTTACGAACGAGGACCGTCTCGCGTCCTCGCCGACCGATACGATCGATCATAAAACGAGAAATCGTATCGTGGTGTCCAACGCGAATATATCCAACAATAGCGTCACAGTGTCGGTCATTTATCCCGAAAATAACGACGATGGGTCCAGAAATCCAGCCGACGGAACGCACCGAGTGCCCGCGAGGAACTCGGGTAAAAGAAATTTCTGCACGTTCTTTCTGACTTCTCTTTCATTTTTTCTACGTAACTTTTAGAAAAACGTTTTGTTCGTCGCTGAGCCGTTCCTAGAGAACTGCGAACGATTCCACTTGTTAAAAACTTTTGTTAGACATCGAAAGCGACCTGGTTTTCAGTCCATCGTTGAATAGACGCGATGTATGTTCCCTCTTTTCATTCCATGTTTTATGGCGCGATCACAAAGAGAGGCGCAATCGCGAAGATTCGTCCGACTCGCATAATTCAATGGAACGTAATAACCGAGCGAATTCAAATGAGAAACACGTCGATGCAAGTAAGGACGGAATGAAACAAGTTTGTATTCAATGTATTATTATACGATTGTTGCAGACAACGAGGAATGCGATTCGCTCGAGTGCGCAGCGAACGACTCGACGTACGAGAAACAGGTCGGGAAGTATTCCACGGAAAATCGACCGGCTGCTTCCATCGAGAACCAGGAAGACGACGCCGCTGCCAGGACGAGAAGTTCCGAAACTCGGAACGAACCTTTCGGATCCAAAGGCTACGTGTTTTTAACCGACTATCGCAATCAGTTGAAACACAGATTGCTTTTGCAACAGCTCGAAGTACGCGTGCAAACACTTCGGTTAATCTTTCCGAACGATTTTCTTTTTTTTTTTTTTTTCTTTAATTACAATGAAAATCGTGTTGCAGGCAGAGGAGAAACGTTTGAAGGTAAAGATTGCCGAGATGGCGATACAGGAGGTACAGTTGAGGATAAAAGCTCTGCACGAGGACATGCGACGCACGGAAGAGTTGCATCGGTTGCGTTTAAAGCACGTCGCAATCGGAAGCAGACATTTTTAGACAGTAAGAGAACAAAGAAATTAATTGGTCCTGGAATGACGTCTGCCAACGCATCGGTTCGTTTCCCCTTGCGATCGCTAGAAGTAGGTGTAGGTAGAATGGAAAACTCGCGCACCATATTCGCGACATATTTTTCTCTAGAATGGCAATTAAAGTTTACGCGTTAGTGGGATTAATTAATTCCTGGGATATTAATTTCTTCTTCGGTGACAAACGGTTCAACTTTTCTCGTCGATCTTAATTCCGTCCGGACGACAGATTCGCAAACTTCGCGGAAGAAGTTAACCGAAAGAGACAGGGATAGGCAAAATACTTATCCAGATAAAAACTTATATCCACGGGATTAGGGAAATGGAAATTTGATAATCAGAGTAACGTCGTAAGCACATCGTGCCGCGAGAAGAACTGTTTACCTGTCTGATGAGGAGGATTACATTAGGTTGTCCAGAGAAAGTTCGTGGCAATTTCTGAGAAACATTCAAAGACACGTTTGAATTTTAATGTACAGGGTGTCCCAGCAACGGCGGTACAATCGAGGTGGAGGTGATTCTACATAAGGAAACAAATCGAAAATAAAGAATAAAATTTGTTCATTTCGGTTTCGTTCTTCGGAAAATCGGTTTTGTATATTCAGCGAGTACGCGTACACGTGACTATGGTTCGGATGGATGGATCCCGATACAAGTCGCACGTATGTTTATACATACGACACTTATAAGTAGTACTCGTATCGTTAGTATCAAGATGACGTGCTGTATTACCCATTTCTGTCTACGGATTTAGAGTGAATTTTAAAGTCTGTATCGAGGTCCATCCACCTAGGCCATAGTTAAGTGTATCCGTACTTGCTTAACATTCAAAATCGATTACCTCGACAACGAAACGTCAAATGAACAAATTTTATTCCTTATTTTCGATTTGTTTTTTCATGTAGAATCAGTAATACAGGGACACCCTGTATATTTATTGAATTACATAGACGCAATTTTGTTCCACGACCTTTCCAACTGTTAAGGGATGTGTGCTAGTTATTTATTTTCAAACGCTTCGATAAATTCAGACCTGTACCACTCACCAAAAATCGACATAGACTTTCCGGACAACCCGATGCTTTTACGTACGAGATGGCATCGTGCTGAAATTTGAAAAGGTGGTAAGGAATAATAACGTGTCGCGTTGACCTGTGCTTCAATTTATTTTTATTAATCACCATCATTTATCGTGTGTTACGATGTCGTCGTCATTTAGAAAAAACGCATGGGACCATACAAAATAACAATGCGCTTAGATTTTCGTGGTAACCGAGCAACGTTTCGAGGTCGCGTGTCGATTTTTCTTACATGCTCGTTTCCGTGGTTGGTCGATTGCTAAGACCGTATCACCGACGGACACGCGAATCGTCAACAAACTACGGAACGGTAACGTTACCACATAACAAGACCTTCTTTTTTTATCCAATGCCGCAGTTGCCTTTTCCATTCTCTCTCTACCTCCGCCGCGATATCGTTCGCCGTTATTATAATTATTCATCGCTTATTCGTCCATTTCCTGCCACCTCGTAATAAGTGATTTTCTTCGTATTTAGTGATTGTTAATAATTATCACAGAAAGTTCGTAAAACAATGATCTTGACGTTTTTTTTTTTTTTTTTTTTTTTAAATATACACACGTGTCTCTTCGTCCGTATGTTCATTTTTCTGTATGTCTGTACGTGTATGTGTGTGTGTGCGCGCGCGCGCGCCAATGTATTCTTCCACGTCTTCCATTCCCTCGTCGGTAGGTTCGTATCAGAGACGAGACAAAATTTGTACGATACAAATTTAACGCGAAATTCGAATTCGAATCGTTCGGTGAGTCGAAGTTACTCGAATAAAATTTCCGCCCGTCTCCGGTGCGAACGTCGCGATTCGAGAAACGTTCCTTATTCGTTCTCTTTTCCTCCTGTATGATTCCCGTTTCGTCGAGTGAGAAAGTACGAGTACGCGTTTCAGACGGAAAAAGTTTGTCACGTTGCTGTAAATAGATTAACGGTAGATTAGCGTTTAGTATTACGTATAACTAGGCGGTAATAGCAGCGATACAAATAGCGATACAAGTAGAACGGTACGCATTAGAGTAGCCTCTTTAAAGTTTGCAGCGTTTAAAAATATTTATAGTTACGCTATAATAGAATAGTTCCTTTTAACTTTACGCGTAGAGAGGTTTCATTTGTCGAAATCGTGGGTGCGTTGAACGAGTGAGAGGAACAGGGAGAGGTAGAGAAGGAGAGCCGATAGGTGGAAGATCTATCGAAGAACCTTGATATTCACGTTTCCGTGCACTCGCTGTAATATTCGACGCTCGTGCACGGAATTCTCTCCGTTTCGATGCAACCGTTGCAAAAATGATAAAACGGTTTCGTCTATCCGCAAGAAAATTATACGTATCCACCGACAAGGAACATCGCTCAACCGCTGCGTGTCGATTTTCGTGGAACTTTGTACGCGAATATAGCATCGAAAATCGCTAGACACCGGCTGATATTCGTGTTTAAGGGGTGGTGAGTCACCCCTTAACACTTTCACTGGGAGCTGCAATTATGATATATTTTTTTTAAATGAAAAATTTCTTACAAACCCTACGGCGTTCGATGCCCGGAAGTCCCGGTTGGTTATTATCCGTTTTATAAGGGTGAACACAGAAAGAAAATTTTCCGAAAGTCTAACCACAACACTAAACACAAAAGAACAGACCAACACGAATGCTTAGATCGTAACGAGTATTTAAATACGACTGAACTGACTAAAAAAGCAAAGGACGCGCGTGTGCGTCATCCGCAGCGAAAGTGTTAATGTTGTACCGGTCAGGTACCTTCTAACGTCCAATATTTTTTAACGTTCAACGTACGGTGTTGTGCTGCAGTTGGTTGATCTTCCTTGCGAGTTGAATCGAATCTCGACGTTAATAAGGATAGGATTTTAGAGCGGCCAAGGATCATCGCGTCTTCTTTCGTTTGCGCGAGCAAACGTCGTTCAGGAATGAATTAAAGTTTGAATCGACGTCGTGCTTTCACGGCACTTTGACGGATCTACGGAGATAAGATCGGATCAGACAGCGAACGTCTCGATGAAATTGAGGATCTGGAAATTAGAATTTCCGCGCAGCTGGTGTGTTCGACTCGATGGTTCGAGACGTTCGCGCGATACCGCGATCTCGCAAGCTGTTCCCTTATTACTCTTTTTTACGATCAAGCCGTCGCTTTGTCAGCTGAAAATTAACATCCAGATGGCTCGTGAGCCGAGCAATTTTACGAAAATTCTTCTCCGTTCGAGTAAACGCTAGTCGAACGTTCGTTTCGCAGGGAAAAAGGTTTCAATAAGTTAACGCATCTATAATTGTTTAGAGAATGCACGTCTTTCTTTTCGCATAGGCTCGAGTTTAAGATGTCACCTTCGCTAATCAATTACAGCCGTATTTATCGGAGAACAATTACATCTTTGAACGCACCGAATTCTTCTTTCTCCCTTCTCGATCTCTCCACGGTTTATTAGGAATCGAATACCTATGAGAGAAAGAGAGTTTTCGTCGCGGGAAGCCCGCGCGAAAAATACTTGAGAGAATGCAAAAATTCAAAAACAGTAGCTCAGACTGAGTCAGCGTCCCTCTTCTGTCCTCGATTCCCATATTTCTTCGTTTACATGTCGTTCACAGGAGCCTTTCTTCCCTTTTCAGGGATGGGCATAATTCATATTCGGATGAAAATCTCGAATAACGTATAAAACATAAATGACTTGTAATGATATCGTATATCACGGTGCACTAATAATTAATCGTTATTACAATTACGTATTTGCGTTTACGTATACGTTTTGTTTAAGGAATATTTTTTATTCAACGAATGTTACCGCGCGACAAGGACGTTAAACGAACAAGAATTTAGTCGAATAAAATTGTGCTCATCTCTGCCCTTCTCCGAGAAGAGTGGATACTCTGGCTTGAAGCTTCTTTACGAGAATTTTACACGAAAAGCATCTAGAACTCTCACTATGCGGAAATCGATCTCTTACCATTATAATTTCCCTTGAAAATGTAAAAATTACTTAAGACAATGCTTAGTTCCTGTGACTTGCTTACGTACGAATAAGTAAATTTAACTGGATTCGCCCCGATTAATTGTCTCGAGCCGTCTCCGTCGCTCGCGCGGCATCCGACGATCGGATCGCGGATTATCGACGAAACGTTCCCTCGAATCGGCGATTCTTAACCGTGAAATATTCCCTTCGTCCACAACCCCATCGAAACCTGGAATTCAGACGCAGTTTTCGTTCAGATTTCGCTGGCTGATCATTTCTCGCGAAGCAACTTCGAACGAATTGCAAATGTATAATATAAAACATATAACAAACGATCGTCGCGTCGGACACCAAAGGTTCGTACGCTGCCGTCGGATCCGAGAGGGTTATGTCGTTGTTCGGCGAGTTTTCGTTTTCAGACTTTGGGTCACTCTTTACGCTTGAACAGAAAAAAAAAAAAAACTGAGCATAAAACAGTCAGGCTGCAGTCGGGTGTAAATAACGCGTCGTAAGAAAAGCGTCGAACTTTTAGGTGAAATACTCGCCGATTCATGCACAGAGTCGACCTCTAAAATTTCGTGGCTCGTTTCTTTCCTTCTGGGTCGTTATTCACCTTGGCACGGTCGGAATTTTCGTCTGTGCGATTTCGCTCGATCGAGCGCAACTGCAACCCCGTGCAGTTTCACCATTTCCATCTTCTTGGAATCAAATGGCCAAGTTTTGTTCGCCGTGCGATTCGGCTAGCGACTTTCACTTCGAGATTGTATTTTAATGCCGATGCAGAAACAGAGAGAGATAGCCGATGTCAACGTCCCAGACCCAAACGTACGTTCCAGTTTGTTTGAAAGTACCGAGTAGTAGTATGAAGCTACCGGCGGACTGATTGTAAAATAACGGCACGAGCGATATTAAATAATGTTTGCAATGTTTGTGTCTGGAGCGGTTAGGAATCGCCGATACGAAACGTTTCCGGCGCTGGCCAAGGCGAACGTGAACGATCTTCCGGCAACGAAGATGTCGTTTCTGTCCATCGGAGCAAATAGAAAAATATAAGGGGTTCTCTGTTTTTGAGCGTGATTTTCGCGTGGCAGTCGAGCAAACGAAA